GATGGGATCGTGCCCTCCACCTGTCCTCATGTCTCTGACGGGAACATGCCCCCACCCGTTCTTATGTCTCTTGATGGAACGTGCCCCTACCTGTCCTCAGGTCTCTGACGGGAACGTGCCCCCCTACCTGTCCTCATGTCTCTGGGGTTTTACCCCACCTCCAGCTCAGGTCCCAGTCCCTGGAGCACCCTTTCTGGCGCCCTTCCCCTGGCACACTCCCTGCCCTCACTCTGCGTCTGTGTCCGCAGGCGGCCCCCAGTCCCTGTGTCTGCTGCGCACTGTCTGTCTACCTGTCTCTGCAGGCCGCCCCCAGTCCCTGTGTCTGCTGTGCACTGTCTGTCTACCTGTTGGGTGTCTTTCCCCTTAGGTCTCACAGCGGGCCAGGGGGACCAGCACCCTCATCCCAGCCATCAGATGTGCCAGGCACACCACAGGTTCTCTGCAAGCACTTATCTAAAGATTGTGCGGGCAGGCAACAGGTGATTCTGAAATTCTGCACAGAGCCCTGGGCTGCCATCCATGGCTGGGTTCCTATGGCGGGAGTTGACAGGAGCTTCTCGTCCTGTGTAGGGACCCGCCCTCCACTGAAGGGCCAGCCAGTCGCAGTGACTTGCTCTTCCTGTCTCCTCTTCCTGCAGGTTGTGGATTCCCAGCTGGTATGCATGATGAACGAAAACAGCATTGATTACATTTCTCGGTTCAACGACTTGGCCCAAGAGTTGTCCATCGCTGAGCCTGGCCGCCGAGAAGCTCTGTTTGATGGTGGTGGAGGCGGCCCAGCTGTCAGTGACCTGTCCCAGTGACCACACGTCCCAGTGGCGGATGAAGCCCTCTTCGAGCTAGAGAAAAATAGATCAAGCCCAGCAGCCCCAGAAGATGGTCTGAACAGAGGCGTCTCTGCAGCCCAGACTGTGCAACAGGCAGGAACGTGGCCACAGAGCTGCTTCCCTACAAGCAGCAGGCAGCGGCATCCAAGGAGACTAGGACGAATTCTTGGGAAGGGCCAGCGTTAGAAATCACTGTGGTGCTAGAGCCGTTCTTCACCACACCCATGTTAGGGTCTGCATAGTGATCCCATTTCAGCTCGTGCTCTGCCTCGATTGTTGTGTTGGACATTCCGGTGGCATTTCCTTCTGAGACAAGGGAGTATGTGTGCCTTGGTGTAGTTGCTGTGCACTAGGAGCTGTGATCTCCCTCTCTGCAGGGAGACCCCAGCCCCTGCTGCTTGCTTTCTGCCAAACCTGTGCCATTCATCAGCTGTGCCCTCTGTGGACTGTTAACAGGCAGGACAGTTGGATGTGGCCTGGGCTCGTGCCGGTGGTGTCACACCCCAAGGCAGCGAGCGCGCAGATGCCGATGGCAGGGCTGCTGCGGAGTCCTGGGGACCTCGGCTGGTGCCTCCCCTCCCTAGAGGTTTTGTTCGGACTCTTACTAGGGAGTGGGGGCAGGAAGAGTCCTGTACTATGCAGGTTGTGTGGACTTTACATGGGACCCTGCTAAGCTGGTTGAAAACGTTTTTCTTGTGTTTTAAGGATTAGGAGACATGGAAGAGGAAGAACGAAGTCCCCTCTGTAGTTGGTTTCCTTCCTGTGTCCCTTTGCAAGCTCCCAGGTGATCTGAGGTGTCATTTCCCCTCCTGGGTTGACCCTTAAGCGCCAATATGATCACAGCGAAGAGTTTCTCGATAAGCCCTTAAATTCGATGTGTGACTGTTTGGCACTTGAGACAAATCTGCCTTTGCAGGGAGAGTGTCTCTCACGGGCATTGGTGTGGGCATGCCAGACATCCGTGTTCCGTCCCTTGCATCCCTTTGCCTTGAGACTTCTATGTCTCCTTCCCATTTGGGACACCCAGGCGAGGGCCCAGACATCTGGATGTGGTCAGACCTCTCCAAATGGATGCCTTAGTGGTGGTCTCCCTCCTTGCGCCCTCTCAGGTGGCCAGCATTCCTACTGCAGACGGCCCAACATCGAGTCTTTCCCCAGGACAGAGCTAACAAGGGCCCCTTTGCCTTCTCAGCCTCAGAAGTTCCAAGCACATGAGTCACCGTCCAGCTACATCCAGTGTGGCCTGGAGCTGCTACAGAGGTGTTGGGCAGGCCATACCTGTGCCGCCATATTTCCCCTCCTGCCTCATTTCGTCCCCCGCGGCATCCAGGATTGATTGTGTTTTCCTAACCTACTTGGACCTACTCTCCCTCCTCCCTACCATTCCTCTTCCCCGACACGTAGCACGCAGCGGCCCTCAAGGCCAGCCCTAGCCCCTCCACTGCTTCTCTCCTCATCCACAGTGGAGAAGGTGAAAAGAGGAGGGAAAGGCCTTTGGTGTGGACAAGCAGGTGGAAGCCCTCTGTCCTGCAGTCTCACCAGCCCCCCACAGCCACTGTAGACCACAGGCAGGCCCTGCGCTGCACCAATGGGAGGACGTCGAGAGGACAGTGGACTTCCAGGCAAGAGCTTCCTTCTTTTGTCTCACGAGTTTTTCTTAGAGCTCTTGCCTGAGCTGGCTTCCCTCCTTCAGACCTTGGCATGAGATCTTAAGCAAACAGTCCCAAACCTCTTGGGGGTGAAAAAAGAAACGTGGTGCCCCTTGATTGGGAGAGAGACAGCAGTGTTTGAACCACAGCGCTTGTGTTTTGTGCAAAATATACCAGCTTCCGAAATTAGCATCTCATTGAGCCAGAGAAGACAAGGAGATCTCCTGTGTGTATCTGGCTTTGCTGCGTCTCTAGAGGGTTAGGATACCAGGCCGAGTTCAGACCACTGCTAGCTTTCTCATACTCCCACAGGCTGGACCAGGGATGCCAAGTCCTAACAGCAGTGAGCTCCGTGTGCTTTTGCCAGTGACAGGAGGGTTTGTGAACTGCTTGTCAGGGTACCTTTTACCCCCTGACAGCTAAGTGGGGTGAAGTTTTGGAGGTCAGGATCTGCTTTTGTAGGCTCTTTAGACAGCACCTACCACTTGGTGCTCCAGCGTGGACTCGTGGGAGCAGCCGACTGCAGCCGTTACCGTCCAGTGGGGAGATGGGTTAAGGGGGAGGACGGGCTGACTCGTCTCCTGTAATAAAGCTGACAGTTCTAGAGGATTCTGCCTCTCTATTAACTAGACAGGTGATACGCATTTCCTTGCCACATTAAGGGAAAATGGTGTCATTTGTTGCAGGAAAACAATGGATGCATTTTCTCCTGGCCTAAATGAATATTTATGTACAAACATAGGCAACTGTTAAAGGCTAGAATTTTCAAAAGATCCAAACAGAGACTTCCTGCATCTTCTGCCTTTCCAACAGAAGCGGTGATCGTCTCAATGTAAGCCAGTGGCTTCCTTTGTGCATTTGAGCATGCTGTAATTAAGATGAGATCAGTTTCTTAGAAAAAGCTTTCCCAAATCCCTCTTTCGTTGTCTGGGATCTTTGCTGATTTGCCTTTTCTGGAGATTGGGACAGAGCATCTGTGGTCCAGGGCAGTTAGTCCTCTGGCCTTGAGGGTGTTGTGGATGTGTACGGTGAGCGGGCACTGCGTGCCTCGGGATGCCTAGTTCGTGGCTTCCTGGCTGTTCTGTCCTTCTGTATCTTGTAGCTGTAGGGTGCCAGCTCCGGTGGGGGTCTTGGCGGCGTTTCTGTGGTTGGCCTCCTTGCTTTGCCGCACCTCCAGGTTCTGGGCATGAGAGGCCATGGCCTCGTTTCTGGTGGATAACCTCTTTAGTTTAATAGCATCTTTAATTAGATCACAGCATTGAATTCAACGTTTCTTCTGCAAAGAAAGTTGTGGGGCATAAGACACCAGGAACGAGGGAGGAGGAAGACAGTTTTGTTTTCTCTTTAAACCTTGAGCTCTAGCCGATGCATTTGTCAGGAAATTCGACACTTTGTGTTAAGAAAACAAGGAAAGAGGCCTGACACAGTGGCTCACGCCTGTAATCCCAGCACTTTGGGAGGCCGAGGCGGGCAGATCACCTGAGGTCGGGAGTATGAGACCATCCTGACCAACATGGAGAAACCCCGTCTCTATTAAAAATACAAAATTAGCTGGGCGTGGTGGTGCACGCCTGTAATCCCACCTACTTAGGGAGGCTGAGGCAGGAGAATCGCTTGAACCCCGGAGGTGGAGGTTGCCGTGAATCGAGATCGCGCCACTGCACTCCAGCCTGGGCAACAAGAGCGAAACTCGGTCTCAAGGAAAAAAAAGAAAGCAAGGAAAGAGTGATTTACAACCAAGGAAAGAAACCCACAGCACACCCTTCGCGGGTGTCAGCGCTCCCCTGACATCACTGTGGCTGCGTGTCCTTGGGGTGGGTGAGGTGTGGGGAGCCAAGCCCCTGGCCCTGCCTCCCGCGCCCCGCCCCGCTTCTCTCCCTTCTCGGTTAAGCCATAGCGAGGCCTCCGCTCGTTTCAGATGTGAATTTGTTTTATAGATTATAAATATGCATATACAGTGTATGTATAAAGCAGAATGCCTGCCTTTCCTGGTTATTTTTTGTACCATATTGTAAATTATATTATTTATTCTTTACCAATTTTGGGAATAAAAGGTGTTTTGGTTATTTAATATAATAAGAGCTGTTAAACTTCTGTTTAAATTTCCAGTTCAACTTGTAAATGTTTTTATTGTGCATAAATACATACTAATGTTGATCTAAGGCCTGTCGTTTGTGCCTGTTCTTCAGGGCCACGTGCCTGTGCGGGCCGTCCCTGGTGGGCAGGTGCGGCCCAGGTGAGGCCCCGCGATCGGCGCGCGGGCTCCCCCAGGCCGGGCTTCCTCCCGAGGGCGCGGCCGCCCCAGGGCCCGCCCAGCCCGCCGCCCAATGCGAGCTCCCAACTCCGCGAGCGGCGTCGCCTTCCCCAATCGGCTGCGGGCGCGGCGCCGGCCGTTCAAAGCTTAAGTCGTCGGGGGGTGGGCGTGAGGGACGGGGCGGCGCCCCGATAGGCTGCGGAGGGATGATTGGCGTCTTGGCGCCCAATGGGCGCTGGCGGGCGGCCTTGGGTACCTGTGCTGGGCGGGCGGGAACGGCGCGCGGAGAGCTGAGGGTGGCGGCGGTCGACATGTTCCGGGGCCCGGAGAGCGAGGGCGGCCGCGCCGGCTCCAGGTGCGGCGCGGGGCACACGGGAGGCAGGCGGGAAGCGCGACCACGTGGCGGGAGCGGGCGAGCCCTGGGCCTCGACGAGTTGCGTGGGGTCGGGGTGGGGTTGGGGGGCGACGCGACCTCACAGAGGCCCCCGGGGCCGCCGCCCGCCTCTCTGCGCCGCCGACGCCCGACTGAGGCCCGAAGCTCGAGGGGCCGCTCGCCGAGGCCCGGGCTGTGGAGAGCTGCCCGCGACCGAGGCCGAGGGCGGGGAGGGGCGCCCGGGCTCTGGGAACAAAGCTGTGTGGAGGGCGGGCTGCGCTCCCTCGCGCCTGGGCGTCCGCGTTCCGTGGGGTGCGTTCCGTGGGGGGTTCCCCGGGGGTGGGGTGTGCCCGTGGGTGCGGCCCAGTCTGTGGGGTGCGTGTCCATGTTCCTTGGGGGGAGGTGTCCCCAAGGGGTGTGCGGCGGTGTGTTTGTGGGGTGTGTCTGGCGGTGCCCCCCTTCGTGTGTGTGTGGCCTGTGCCCTGCCCGTGTCCCTGGTGTGTGTGTGGCCGTGTTACCTGCCCGTGTCCCTGGTGTGTGTGTGGCCGTGTTCCCTGCCCGTGTCCCTGGTGTGTGTGTGGCCTGTGCCCTGCCCGTGTCCCTGGTGTGTGTGTGGCCGTGTTCCCTGCCCGTGTCCCTGGTGTGTGTGTGGCCGTGTTCCCTGCCCGTGTCCCTGGTGTGTGTGTGGCCTGTGCCCTGCCCGTGTCCCTGGTGTGTGTGTGGCCGTGTGCCCTGCCCGTGTCCCTGGTGTGTGTGTGGCCCTGCCCGTGTCCCTGGTGTGTATGTGGCCTGTGCCATGCCCATGGCCGCGCTTCCACTAGTTCATGTGAGTCCGCTTCCTTTGGAAAGTGCCAGGGTGTCTGGGGCAGTCAGTTCTATCTCCTTTAATCTTCAACCTGGGAAGGTGGATGGCGCTCCTGGGCTTCGCTGTAGGAAGAAGTGGGTTGGGACAAAGATTTTCTGACTCATGTTTAATAGCCAGGAACGCTCAGCACACTTTTCTTGTGTTTTTGAACTTTTAAAGCACTCCTTGGGTACTGGGACTCACATAAATTAGAGTGGCAGAGCTTACAGGGTCTTTCGTCCACTTGAGCAGTGAGCTTGCATTGTGAAGTTTGGGTCTTCCGATGCCTGAGGTTTTCTGTGTGATGAGCCCCTCTGTGGCACAGCCTCGCCAGAGAAGTAGAAGAGAATGTGGGTGCCGTGACGGTTAAGACAAATACTATGTTGCTTCTCGGTCTTTTGGCTAAGATCAAGTGAAGACAAATACTATATCGAATAAATACTAAATAAAAGAATTGCTCCAACTTGCTAAAATTAAAAACCCTTTAGATTGGCTGGGTGCGGTGAATCACGCCTGTAATCCCAGCACTTTGGGAGGCCGAGGTGGGCGATCACCTTAGGTTGAGAGTTTGAGACCAGCCTAGCCAACATGGTGAAACCCCGTCTCTACTAAAAATACAAAGATGAGCCGGACATGGTGGCGTGTGCCTGTAGTCCCAGCTGCTTGGAGAGGCTGAAGCAGGAGAATCACTTGAACCCAGAGACAGAGGTGGCAGTGAGCCGAGAATGATCTCTGCACTCCAGCCTTGGTGACAGAGCAAGACTCCATCTCAAAAAAAAAAAAAACCCCTTTAGATTTGAGGGAGTTAGGTCAGTATTCAGTAATACTCGTAACCAAATAATTAGCCCTGGCTGGGCACGGTGGCTCACGCCTGTAATCCCAGCACTTTAGGAGGCAAAGGTGGGTGGATCAGGAGATTGAGACCATCCTGGCTAACACAGTGAAACCCCGTCTCTATTAAAAATACAAAAAAATTAGCCGGTTGTGGTGGTGGGCACCTGTAGTCCCAGCTACTCGGGAGGCTGAGGCAGGAGAATGGTGTGAACCCGGGGGGCGGAGCTTACAGTGAGCTGAGATCACGCCACTGGACTCCAGCCTGGATGACAGAGTGAGACTCTGTCTGAAAAAAAAAACAGCCCTTAATCCATGTAACAGTGATTATTTCTCACACCTAGGTCTGCACCAATGTGGGACCAGAAGTTTACACTGTAGTGCTCAGAGCGCATCTGGTTTCTGGTTTCTGGTTCCTGATGGCCAGGGTTTTGCACCACCCACACCAGTGGTGTGAGGAACTGCATCCCCAGCCCTGTCCCAGTTGTTTGCATTTAGTACGTTTCTTTTTGTTTGTGCCGCCTGGCACTGGCTGCCCAGTAAATAATGGTGTTTGTTATCACCCTGAGTGACACTGATGTTTTTATGTTGACTTTCACACTCCAGAAGTTAGCTGCAGAGGTGCCATGCTAAAGTCATATTCACACTAGTTTGGGGGATTCGTTTCTGGACAGGATGTTGGGAAAGGGAGAAAGATCTTCCTTTTAGGATGGTGAGAAAGGAAAGCAGGTCTGAAATGGAATGATGAGATATCACTGGAAGCTTCTGCTTGGGGTCCACCAGAAGTTGCATGTTTGCCATTCATCTGAACGGGGTTGAGTTGCAGGGTGGGTGCCTTGTAAGCGTCACACTTTGTTTTGCTGTGAAGGGAATCAAGTGGTGGCTGTAAGATTACCCAGCCAGGTTTTCCTCTCTTGAGACCTTACATCTCTTGTTTTCTTACTGAAGGATTATCTTGTGTTAAAGGGATTTTGTAACAGCATTATGCTTTAGCCATGATTAACCTGAGATCTTCCTTTAAGCTGTAACATTTATATTTGTAAGGAATTTAATCTGAGTTTATTTCTCACTGCTTCTCTTTAAGACTGACCAGTCCCCTAATCCTTTCTGAAGCTTGGGGACGAACTGTTAGAGAGGGTCAGGAGCATGGAGACCCCCCCAAGGAGGGCCACACAGGTTTTCCCTCCCTCTCCAGTGCTGCAGTCCACTCCAGCTGTGTGAAGTTTTTCTTCTCCTGTGCGCTTGAGTTTCTGTTGTGTGTTTTGAATATCTTCACTGAACTATATTGAAGGGGTACCATAAGAGGCAAAAAACAATTGGGAAGCACCCCCCACCCACATTGTGAATTTGTCCCCAAATGTGTGAGTTCTAGCATTCCCCCCCCCACTAGTGTCATGGTGGTAAGTGTGCCTGTAGCCTAGAGAACGCCACACTGCACCATTGTTGTTGGGATGTTTTGATTGAAAGGTCTATTGAACACTCAGTTCCATTTATCCGAGACCCCTTTGAGGCAGCCCAGCCCTGCAGTCTGTGTGAAACCTGCAGTAGGACCTGTTGCCTTTGTGATCGAAATGGCCACTGCCCCTTCCCTGGGGCTGGGTCTGTATGTGCCATAATTTCTGCTAAACCATTCTTTGGTACCACTTTTTTTTCTTTGCTTGTTTTCAAATAAAATTCAGAAAAGCACATAGAACAATGTTAAATATTGTATTTCCTTTCACCCCAAAGTAACACTAGTCATTTCAAGTAACTACCACTCACCTCCTGCGCCCATTGGTACCCTTTCCACATGGAGGCCACAGACTCAATTTGGGTTTCACCTCTTCCGAATTTTGGAGCCCTGATGGCACCCAGTGTCTGTCACATCACTCGCACGGAGCCTGGAGCCACCTGCGCATAGCTCCAGCTCTCCTGTTTAAACGTGAAGCTCCACCGGAGTGCGGACTTGCTCTTTACTCCATCTGCAGCGTCTGGGGAAGGATCGCCAATGGTGGTGCTCAAGAAATGTGCAGGTTGAACTGAAGCAAGGGTGAAAGGCAGAGGAGACAGGAGACTGTGAATGTAGGGAGTGTGGGGTCAGGAAAGAGTCCTAGAGAGCTTACAGTCAAGGCGCGTCTGCCTGGAATTGGATCTGACAGTTTGTGGCACCTTGAGGGCTTGAGAGAAGAGCCATGTTTCAAATAAGTCAGTAAAAGGAATTATAGCTCATGCTCAGCTCACATGAGACTTGATGATAAATTCTGTTCAATTCTAAAGATTACAGACCTTCATCCCTTATTCCCAAAGAGAGAGCTGTAGAGACCCACGCATGTTTAGGCCTGCTACACTAGTCAAGAAAAATCATGCAGAATTGGCTGGGCACAGTGGCTCAGGCCTGTAATCCCAGCACTTTGGGAGGCCGAGGCAGGCAGATCACTTTAGGTCAGGAGTTTGAGACCAGCCTGGCCAACATGGTGAAACCCCATGTGTACTAAAAATGCAAAACAATAGCCAGGCACGGTGATGCGCACCTGTAATCCCATCTACTTCGAAGGCTGAGGCAGGAGAATTGCTTGAACCTGGGAGGTGGAGGTTGCAGTGAGCTGAGATCGCGTCACCGTATTCCAGCCTGGTAACAGAGGAAGACTCCATCTCAAAAAAATAAAATAGGCCAGACACAGTGGCTCATGCCTGTAATCCCAGCACTTTGGGAGGCTGAGGTGGGCGGATCACCTGAGGTCAGAAGTTCAAGACCAACCTGGCCAACATGGTGAAACCCCGTCTCTACTAAAAATAGAAAAATTAGCCAGGCATGGTGGCGGGCTTCTGTAGTCCCAGCTACTCGGGAGCCTGAGGCAGGAGAATTGCTGGAACCCAGGAGGTGGAGGTTGCAGTGAGCCGAGATTGTGCTGTTGCACTCTGGCGTGGGCAACAAGAGCGAGACTTTGTCTCAAAAACAAAGCATGCAGAATTACCAGGGCTATGTGATTCAAAAATGGATATGGAAGTCAGATGGCCTTATGGCCACTATCAGAGCACCTCACCTTAAATCTTGTTAAGTCGCCCGCCCCCTGCAACCACCCTTTATTTTTTTTCCTTTTGTTGAAACAAAGTCTCACTCTTTCGCCCAGGCTGGTGTACAGTGATGCAATCATGGTTCACTGCAGCTTTGACCTCCTGGGCTCAAGCCTGCCTCAGCCTCCCGAGTAGCTGGGACTACAGGCGCGTTCCACCATACCTGACTAATTTTTGTATTTTAAAAAATAATTTTTCTCAAGCGTACCTGTCTTTTTTTTCTCCCTCCTCAAATCCTCCAGGAAATGGCGACTGCTGACAGGAAGTTTGGCATCCACCTCCCCCAACCTCCTGAGTGGACAGGGGCCCTGGGCACCACTTCAGAGGTCTGCCAGCACACGCTTGGCTTCTAGGGTAGAGTAGCCAGCCCATGGGTCTCTGCAGGCGGAGACTGAAGCACTCTTTGCCTTCCTGCTTTATAGCAGGAGATCTGAGAATTCCATTCACATCCAATCACAAGGAGCCCTCAGCGCTCTGTCTAGCTCTTTTGAGGAGAAAGTGTTATTTTTGTTAACTAAACCTTGAGTGGTCAGTGTTTGCAAAGCTTTCCAGTGAGATCTAACCTCATATCATAGTTTTTGTGTGATGTTGAGCCCTGTAATTTCAAGTACAGTCATCCTTGGTATCTTGCGGGAGTTGGTTCCAGAACCCCCAGGATACCAGAATCCAAGGATGTGTAAGTCCTTGATATAAAGTGGTGTAGTGTTTGCATATAACCTATGCACATTCTCCCATATGCTTTTAAATCATCTCTAGGTTACAAGGTTACATATAATACCGTTCGGGGTCCCTGACTTCTCGCAACACCTAATACTATGCAAATAGTTATTATACCATATTACCTAGGGAATGATGACAGAAAAATAGTCTGTAGATGTTCAGTATAGATGCAACCATCCTTTTATTTCTGACATTTTGATCTGAGGTTGGTTGAATCCATGGAAGCAGAACCTGTGGATACAGAGGTCTGACTTCGTTTCTAAACGTCTGGGATCACAGACAGTCCCGTCGCTTAGGAACAGTGAAAGAGCATGAGCCACTCACTGGTTTAAATCTCACTTTCAGTAAGCCTTTCTCAAATGCATTTAAAAAGTTTTTCCAGTTGTTCTGAATTCAGCATTTTACTTGTTTGCGAATGTAGAGGGTGCTCTGGGAATAGAGCTTTGTGGCAATTGCTTATTAGTTTTTAAGTTTAAGTTTTGCAATAAAAAGTGATTCAAGAGCCAGGTGCAGTGGCTCACACCTGTAATCCCAACACTTTGAGAGACTGACACAGGTGGATCACCGAAGGTCGGGAGTTTGAGACCAGCCTGACCAACACGGCGAAACCCTGTCTCTACTAAAAATACAAAATTACCCAGGTGTGGTGGCGCATGCCTGTAATCCTAGCTACTCAGAAGGCTGAGGCAGGAGAATTGCTTGAACCCAGGAGGCGGTGGTTGTGGTGAGCCAGGATCGCGCCATTGCACTCCATCCTGGGCAACAAGAACGAAACTCCGTCTCAAACAAAACAAAAACAAACAAAAAAGCTAGTCAGGTGTGGTGGTAGACACCTATAATCTGAGCTACTCGGGAGGCAAAGGCAGGAAAATCACTTGAACCCACTAGACAGAGGTTGCAGTGAGCCAAGATTGTGCCACTGCACTCCAGCCTGGGCGACGGAGCGAGACTCCATCTCAAAAAAAAAAAAAAAAAAAAAAAAAAAAAGAATACTTTTAAGGGAACCTAAAGAGCAGTAAGAAAAGTCTGGTGTCTGTAAACTAGTCATACCAGTATTAACTAATGGTGGTGTGTGATTTCTTAGTAGATGTTAAGAAAATACTTTTGCTGGGTGTGGTGGCTCATACCTGTAATCGCAGCACTTTGGGAGGCCAGGGTGGGCGGATCACTTGAGGTTAGGAGTTCGAGACCAACTTTGGCAATATGGTGAAACCCCATCTCTACCAAAAATACAAAAAATTAGCCAGCTGTGGTGGCGGGTGCCTGTAATCCCAGCTACTCAGGAGGCTGAGGTGGGAGGATCACTTGAGCCCAGGAGGCAGAGGTTGCAGGGAGCCAAAATCACGTCACTGCACTCCAGCCTGGGTGACAGAATAAGACCTTGTCTCAAAAAGAAAAAAAATACTTTTACCCTGTGTAGCTGTGCCAAAATCCTTGCACAGTGACAAGCTTTCAGGGCTGCCATCAGTAATTGGCATGTACTCTGTGCTTGTAGGGCCATGAAGCCCCCAGGAGGAGAATCGAGCAATCTTTTTGGAAGTCCAGAAGAAGCTACTCCTTCCAGCAGGCCTAATAGGATGGCATCTAATATTTTTGGACCAACAGAAGAACCTCAGAACATACCCAAGAGGACAAATCCTCCAGGTATGGGCCTTTGGAAATCCTTAATCCTTTGGCCTCTACGATTCTGTTTTGAAAATATTTTCTGTTTCTTTATACTGAGCCTTTCCCATATTTTCTGGTTCAGGTAATTACTTGTCATCAGAGTTCTTCCAAAATGAAAACGTTCTGATTTGTACTTTCTCTCTTGAAGGTGGCTTGAGTAGTCTTGAATTCTCCATCTGTTCTGGAGACTTTGGTTGAATGCAGGCACTGAGGACACAAAGGTGGACAAGGGCTTCTGGTTCCTGCCAGGGAGCCGCTCCCAGTTGTTCCTTCGACCCCTCTGAGATTCCTGAAATTACGTGCAAATTATTGTGCATTTAAACATTTTTCCTAGGGAGGGAAAGTGTTTTTAATCGGATCATCAGTGGGATTGAAACTCTTAACAAGAAAGAATTGATCCAGCACACATCTACATAGTTCTTCAGTGTTTACCCCACCTCCTGATGGTTACAGTGGGAGGGACTCTTTGAAAAAGGTTTCTTGGCACTTTGGGAGGCTGAGGCGGGCGGATCACGAGGTCAGGAGATCAAGACCATCCTGGCGAACACAGTGAAACCCCACCTCTACTAAAAAAAAATTAGCCGGGCGTGGTGGCGGGCACCTGTAGTCCCAGCTGCTCAGGAGGCTGAGGCAGGAGAATGGTGTGAACCCAGGTGGCGGAGGTTGCAGTGAGCCGAGATCGCACCACTGCACTCCAGCCTAGGTGACAGAGCAAGACTCCATCTCAAAAAAAAACAAAAAAAAAAGGTTTATCAGCTGGGCGCAGTGGCTCATGCCTGTAATCCCAGCACTTTGGGAGGCTGAGGTGGGTGGATCATGAGGTCAGGAGTTTGAGACCAGCCTGGCTGACATGGCGAAACTCCATTTCTACTAAAAGTACAAAAATTAGCTGGGTGTGGCGGTGCACGCCTATAATCGCAGCTACTGAGAAGGCTGAGGCAGGAGAATCACTTGAACCCGGGAGGCGGAGGTGGCAGTGAGCCAAAATCACGCTAGACTCCGTCTCAAAAAAAGAGAAAGAAAAAGGTTTCTCTTGGCTGGTAGACTGTCCAGTTGAATAATCGCACAGTGGAGGTTACCTGAATGGCTTTCCCCTGTCTGTACAGGAGGGGAAAGCACAGTCTCTTCCATTCTTAGAAGGTTTGAGAGGCCATGCTCAGGTGTCATTGTGTCAGGCAGGTCCTGAATCAGAGCCAGATCCACTCCCGACCTCACCCAGTTTTGGGGTACCAATATTTCCTGACCAAATATAGAGGAAAAAAAGCAGTAGATCCAGAAGCTAGTTTTTTCTTTTTTTTTTTTCTGTTTTGAGACAGGGTCTCACTCTGTCGCCCCGGCTGGAGTGCAGTGGCACCATCATGACTCACTGCATGCAGCCTTGACTTCCCAGGCTCAGGTGACCCTTTTTCCTCAGCCTCCTGAGTGGCTGGGACTACAGGCGTATGCCACCATGCTTAGCTAATTTTTTTTGTTTTTTTTGTGGAGACAGGGTTTAACCATGTTGCCTAGGCTGGTCTGGAACTCCTGGGCTCAAGCCATCTGCTCACCTCGGTCTCTCAAATTGCTGAGATTACAGACAATGCACCCTTGTGCCCAGCCGAAGCTAGGTTTGCTGCTTGCCTTGTTTTGTTTTGTTTTGTTTTGTTTTGTTTTTGGTCTGGTTGCTTTTTTGGATGTAGTTAGAGAAGTGAGTGTTTTTTATTAAGTGACTAATATTCTCATTGTTTCCGGTTTATGAATTTACGCCCAGGGACTCCTGCATGTCCTTTTTAGAAAGGATAGCAGAATAATACATCGCATGCAAGACAGAATCCTAACTGAGGCGTTTCCAGGTGTATGAGTCTGCTCACTTGGCCGCTACTCAGCAGAGTCATGTCTGGAGCTGTCCCTAGAGCGCTCTGTGGAAGGCAGGTGGTACTACTTTGCCCATTCCACATAGTCTCATGCCTGGGGGGAGCCCAGCCCCTTGCAGCTGGTGAGCCAGCCTCCACTCCCGGTCACAGTGTGTGGTGTCAGCTATCATGGCTCCCCATGCCAGGTTCCTGCTTCTCACGGTCCTTCTCACGGTTGTTGCGAGTTTTTCTATCCCTCCAGTGTTCTTCGAAGACAGTTTATGATGTATTATCAAGGGAAGCCTGAAAGGGAAACTGGTCACCACCCAACGAGATCTGGAGTCCTGCCCTCTTTCTACACTTAGTCACACAGACCTAGCCCCACAACCCTCTAGTTGCACGGCCTGATTGAGAAAAGTATGCAGAGGCTGAGTGTGTGTGTAACAGACCACATCATAGCCATCGGACATTTACCAATTCCCATTTAGTGTTTCAGTGAATCTTCAGTAGTCTCTGTGTTCTGTGTTGGTCGCCTGGTTTAGATGTTCCGTAAGGCTGGGCGCGGTGGCTCAAGCCTGTAATCCCAGCACTTTGGGAGGCCGAGACGGGCGGATCACGAGGTCAGGAGATCGAGACCATCCTGGCTAACCCAGTGAAACCCCGTCTCTACTAAAAAATACAAAAAACTAGCCGGGCGAGGTGGCGGGCACCTGTAGTCCCAGCTACTCGGGAGGCTGAGGCCGGAGAATGGCGGGAACCCGGGAGGCGGAGCTTGTAGTGAGCTGAGATTCGGCCACTGCACTCCAGCCTGGGCGACAGAGCAAGACTCCGTCTCAAAAAAAAAAAAAAAAGATGTTCCGTGAATTGTTTTTCCTCTTCTAGCATTGATGACTGACATCTATGAATTGTTAATATTTACCAGGGGCTGTGCTAAGTGCTTTGCATGTGTATTTTTCATTTGGTCTTTGCCGTAACTAGGAGTAGGTGGTTTTGCTCCTTTCACAGAGGAGGATACTGAGGCTCGGAAAAGGTCACTGGCATGCATAAATCCCAAGCTAGTCAAGTCAGTAGCAGAGCTGGCCTTTGAATCGGGGTTTTTCTGACTCCAGATTCCATGCCTTAAACTGACCTCCTGAATGTATCCACTGGGATAAATTTTTCAAAATGGAATTGGTGGATCAGATGGTATATGAGTTTAAAATATGGATAGATATTTCCAACCAGTTTTTCAAGGCATTGCCCGGTGTTTACCTATCTTGTGTATGTGCTTATTTGCACCAATAGTATTTATCTTTTAGTTTTGCTTTTTAAAACAAATCTTGTAGGCCAGGTGCGGTGGCTCATGCCTATAATCCCAGCATTTTGGGAGGCTGAGGTGGGAGGATTGCCTGAGCCCAGGAGTTTGAAACTGGCTTGGGCAACATAGCGAGGCCCAATCTCCCAAATAAATAAATGATATTTTTAAAAACAAAATAACACAGAGCCCTTGGAAATCGAAAATCTAGCAGGAGGAGAAAACATCTCTCGAGGTTATATTCAATTATTAGTGAATTTAGGCATGTTTTCTTGCTTCAAAGCTGAATTTATTTTTCAAGTAAAATGGTAACAGACATATGCAGTACGACCTCCTAGTTAAGAAGGTCAGAAGCAGAGGTTCATTGTTTAGGGTTGCACGTATACGTGGTAAAAATGTGGTTTCCACAAAATTGAGGCGTGTGGTAACCTTGGGTGAGAGGGAAGGAACGCAGGAGTTTCTGGGAACGGGCACTGTTCTCAGTGACCTGGGCAGTGGTTACCTGGTGTCTACCCTGTAGTTATTTGTGATAGTTAATGTCTTACAGACTTTTCTGTGTTATCTTTCACAGTTTATTTTTTTTAAATGAGTGGTGTCTTTGGCCAAAAACTATCTTCTATTTTAAAAAGCTGGAGTCACGTTTAAAAAAAAAAAAGTAAGCTGTTGTAGCACAGCCAGGAACGATGCAGTGGGGGCTGGGGGTTGCACACATAGTTTTCTCCGCCCCGCCCCGTGGTCCTGACGCGCTTGTTGACACAGCCCCGCAGCATTGCCAAGGGCTTACTCAGCAGGCCAGGACTGTTCTAACCACTTCACCTGAATTTACTTGTTTAAGCCTCACCGGTGACCCTAGGTAGGTATTATTATTTATTACTTTATTTTGTTTTGTTGGTTTTTTGAGACAGGATCTCAATGTGTCACCCAGGCTTCAGTGCAGTGGCAGAATCACAGCTCACCGTCTCCAACTTCTGAGCTCAGGCAATCCTCCCACCTCAACCTTCTGAGTAGCAGGACCACAGGCTAATTTTAAAATGTTTTTGTAGAGACAAGGTCTTACTTTTTTCCCAGGCTAGTCTTGAACTCCTGGACTCAAGCAGTCCTCCCACCTTGGCCTCCCACTGTGCTAAGATTACAGGTGTGAGCCGACGCACTTGGACTGTTTGTTACCTTTTTACAGTTAAGAAGATGGAAATGAAAGAAGGTTGACATAACTTGTCCAAGGTCTCACAGTTAATGAGCAGCTGAGCAGAGACTCTGACCCAGGCAGTCTGGCCACAGGACACTCTCCCCACCGTGCTGTGCTGCTTTCCCTGGCCAGGGGTTTCAAGCTTGGGGACTGTGGGTCCCTGGGAGGTCCATGGCTGAGGTTCAGAAGGTTTATAAACACCATGAAGTCATATGAAAAATGTACACATTTTTCTGCAGGGCGAGTCCCACATATCGCCGGATGTTCTGTTATCACCTGCAAAAGGCAGACACACTCCCGCCCGAGCCCCCACTTGCTGTACTGTGTTACAGTCCTCCTTGTCAATGCGCTCTGTGCTCCTAGAACTGGTGTCCCAGAAAGCCACCCTGCTTTAGGCCCCACCCCCGCAGTGGGGCCCTCAGGAGGGTCTGAAGATGAGCAGGTGCACAGACCCCCAGCCGAGCCTCATCTCCACACAAGCAGGCATGGGCTCTTCATCTGGTTGCTTCTGTGGAGCAGTGTGGATTGTTAACACTAGGAAGTAACCGTTAAAAATGTATTTTTTTCCTGTAACCAGATTGCTCTAACTATACACTGTGTGTGAAAAAAGTTGTAGTCCTGCTAAAAGCTCCTCTATCCCTGCCTATATAAATGAAACTCTAATGTCCCTACTTCAGAACACCGACTCCATTCCTTTGGACTCGGTGTTTCCAGGTGGGCTGTCCTCAGTCATTACACATGAATAAACTCTCTTTAAGTTAAATAAATCAATTTACAAAATTTAATTTTTCGAGAACAGAAAATGCAAAAGATCGGCCAGGCGCGGTGGCTCTAGCCTGTAATCCCAGCACTTTGGGAGGCCGAGACGGGCGGATCACGAGGTCAGGAGATCGAGACCATCCTGGCTAACACGGTGAAACCCCGTCTCTACTAAAAAAATACAAAAAACTAGCCAGGCGAGGTGGCGGGCGCCTGTAGTCCCAGCTACTCGGGAGGCTGAGGCAGGAGAATGGCGTGAACCCAGGAGGCGGAGCTTGCAGTGAGCCCAGATCGCGCCACTGCACTCCAGCCTGGGCGACAGAGCGAGACTCCATCTCAAAAAAAAAAAAAGAAAATGCAAAAGATCAAAACTCTGTAAACAAAAAAAGGAGACTGTGTTAAGCAGTGTTGAGCCCCTGCATTCCCGCAGTCCTGTGTCTTCACACGTGTCGGTATCCCCTGTAGGTAACCGCTTTTCTTCATATAAAAGCAAATAAGAACACCCCCTGCTTTTACATGAAAACATTGCATGCTGTATGGATGGTTTGCACCCTTGTGTTTTCACTGGACAGGGCGTATAGATACCTCTTTATGAGTGCATAGAAAATAAGGTTAACGGCCGGGCGTGGTGGCTCACGCCTGTAATCCCAGCACTTTGGGAGGCCAAGGTGGGCGGATCACGAGGTCAGGAGATCGAGACCATCCTGGCAAACACAGTGAAACCCCATCTCTACTAAAAATACAAAAAAAATTAGCCGGGCGCAGTGGCGGGCGCCTGTAGTCCCAGCTACTCAGGAGACTGAGGCAGGAGAATGGTGTGAACCCGGGAGGCGGAGGTTGCAGTGAGCTGAGATCGCGCCACTGCACTCCAGCCTGGGCGACAGAGCGAGACTCCGTCTCAAAAAAAAAAAAAAAAGAAAATAGGGTTAACATGTTTATTTCCATGCCAGGCACTGTTGCAAGCATTTGACATATGGCTACAGTAACTCACTGAGCTTTCTTCCAGTCCTGTGAGGGAGTCCTTTTATTACCCCATTCCACAGATGAGGACTGGGGGACACACAAAGGCCAAGTAACTTTCACAGGATCACACAGCAAGTCAGCAGAATGCATCATCTTTCCTTTTAGATTGTAAGTTCTTGGTACACCAGGGGCATGATTTTAATGACACCAACCTCCGTTTAGCACTTTGTCAAAAGCGGGTGCTTGGTGTTTGCTGAGTGAAGAGGTGGTCCGTTGGTCCCACAGGGTAGCCATCTTTCTGTAGAACGTTGGGCACAGGTATTTAGGCTGAACATCTATCCCTTAGTCACCTGCTACTAGGAAGTCACATCTTAGATGCACACTTTCATTATGGCTTATCAAGTCACTTACAGTTGGCAACAAAGATGTTACGTGTCTGTAATTTGCAGACATATCTAGTCTCTGGAAGTACCGGCCAGAATGAGGTCAGAAGAATGACTAATAAATATTTTCAGGGTGGCAGATTTCCCTTGAATAGGGCATGTTATTAAATTCAAAACTCTATCTGTGTGACTTAAACATTTAGCTGTTTATTTTTAATCTACTGAAGAACTCTTCATGGGTTTTGTGAGGAGCACCAACAGGAAAGCATGAAATGTTCAAAGTTAAGGAAATTCTAGAGGGAAAATCTGCAGTTTGATGCCATCTCACCTCTAGGGCCAGCCTAGATCAGCTCAGTTCTAGACATGAGGGCTGCAGGCAGGCCCCTGATACAGCCATGGTTTTGACATAGGTCTTCAGGGGTTTCGGTCTGAGCATCCTGCCCTGTCGGCCTGGAGCTCAGGGCTGGCACTAGGGGTTACTATGAGAGGAGGTCTGTAAAGCCCTGCAGGTGTGGGGTGGGCTCCGATGGACGTCTGGCTGCTCAGTGTTCTGTGATTGTTTCTGCAGGGGGTAAAGGAAGTGGTATCTTTGACGAATCAACCCCCGTGCAGACTCGACAGCACCTGAACCCACCTGGAGGGAAGACCAGTGACATTTTTGGGTCTCCGGTTACTGCCACTTCACGCGTGGCACACCCAAACAAACCCAAGGTATGGACTGCATTCCGACATGACAGAGCAGCAGCAGGTATGCCAGGTACTCTTTCCAAAAAGGCTCCAAGGCAGATGTGACATGTTTTTAGGGAGAATCATGGTGGGTGACGTGGATTGTCCTGGATGCAAAAGCATTAGTCATCGAGTTTGGAAGTTCCCCTGCGTCACCCAGGAAACAGTCCAGCCTTGTGCTGACTGAAGCCGTGGGGGAAGCTGCTCCTGTGCCGGTGGCGGATGCCCACTGCCCACGGGCTGCGGCGGCTCCTCACTGCAGCGCTGTGGAGCCCGGAGAAGAGAGGGAACAGAACGTGCAGCAGAGGAGCCGGGCCCTGTCCGTCTTCCACTCTTCCTGTTTCATCTTGGAAAGGAAAAGCGACAGTTCTTTTTTGATGGGCTTTTCCCCACACGGTTGAGGTCCTCAACTGGTTACCTGTGCAGATTGTCAGCACTTGACTAAAGCGTAGCTGACGCCTCTGACCCAGTAATGGCATCAGTAGAATAAGATAAGTGACCTGGAAAGGAGAGGAACGCCTGAGCAATGTGACCTCGGGCATGGCCTTAGCAGGGATTGATTAGATCTGCAGCCTCCCTGGGCTATGGTGGAGGGCTTGCCTAAGGCCAGTCTCAGCTTCCCTGGGACCAGAGCCTGCACTGCCTTAGCTTGGACATTAGTTTGAGTGGTGGCATAACATTTCTAGGGTTTACTGCAGCCACCATTCGTCAGTAAGAAAGGCCAGGATTTATTACTAACATAATTAGCCATATTTTTTAATATGTTTATTCACTTTTCTACCTTTTTTGTGGTTAAAAGATAGGGTCTAGTTCCCTAAAGCAGAAAATTCTTAAAATAAAATTCGTAACCATTTCTGGAGTTACTTAAGCTTAGAAAACTGCTGCACGTTTATCGGTTTATATGCTGGAAGATGGCCCATTGAAGAATTGAAATGGAAATGTAAACAGAAAGGAGAGGACATGACTGGATGAGAGTGTCGCCTGCGGCCAGCCTGGTTTAGATTGCCCTACATCTCTCTGGGGCTGGCGTCTCTGCAGCGACATCTTTTTCCATTGTAAAATCTCATAGGACCCGTTAGACTCTGCTGAGGTTTGGTTGGGTTTTTTTGTTTGTTTGTTTTCTTTGAGACAGAGTCTCATACTGTCGCCCAGGCTGGAGTGCGGTGGCAAGATCTCAACTCACTGCAGCCACTATCTCCCAGGTTCAAGCAATTCTGCCTCAGCCTCCCGAGTAGCCAGTATTACAGGCGTGCAACAACATGTCCAGCTAATTGTTGTATTTTTAGAAGAGATGGGGTTTCACCATGTTGGCCAGGCTGGTCTTGAACTCCTGGCCTGAAGTGATCCACCTGCCTCAACCTCCCAAAGTGCTGGGATTACACACGTGAGCCACTGTGCCCAGCCATGCTGTCTGAGTTATTTTCAAGAGAGCATCTCTTTGGGAAGTATCTTTGGGGGCTTTACTACGAGCTGAACTTTGGCCGGATCAGAAATGTCCTAAAAGTCAGCAATTCGGCCAAGCGCAGTGGCTCACGCCTGTAATCCCACCACTTTGGGAGGCTGAGGCAGGTGGATCACGAGGTCAGGAGATCAAGACCATCCTGGCTAACATGGTGAAACCCATCTCTACTAATAAAAAGGACCTGGGCGTGGTGGCGGGTGCCTGTAGTCCCAGCTACTCGAGAGGCTGAGGCAGGAGAACTGCTTGAACCCAGAAGGCAGAGGGCGCAGTGAGCCAAGATCACGCCACTGCACTCCAGCCTGGGAGACAGAGTGAGACTCTGTCTCAAAAAAAAAAAAAGTGAAAAGGCAACCCACAAAATGGGAGAAAATATTTGCAAATCATATTTGATAAGGGGTTACTATCCAGAATATATAAAGAATGCCTACAACTCAACAACAAAATAACAAACCCGATTCAGAAATGGCAGTAGACTTGAATGTACATTTCTCCAAAGAAGAGATACAGGCAGCCAAAAAAACACCTGAAAATATGCACAGTGTCATTAGTAATTGGGGACATGCACATCAGAAACCCATGAGATGCCAGTGCATGCCTGCTCGGATCGTGTGATGTAAAAATGGAAAATAAGAGTTGGTGAGGATGCGGAGAAACTGGAACCCTCATGCAGTGCTGGTGGGAATGGAAAAGCGTGCAGTGGCTGTGGATACTGCCAGTTCCTCAGAGTTGAACAGGATTACCACATAACCGAACAATTCTGCTCTTAAGTATGTACTCAAAAGACTTGAAAACAAGGAGTCAAACACTAGATCCTTGCAACAGGATTATTCACAGTAGCCCAAGGGCGGGGATGACTCAGTTGTCCGTCCACAGGTGAATGGGTAAACGACATGTGGTCTGTCCATACAGTGGAATATTAAAGGAATGGAGCATTGACACATGCCACAGCATGGATGAACCTTGAAAATATTATGCCAAGTATTTAAACATTTGACTTTGAGGCTGGGCACAGTGGCTCACGCCTATACTCCCAGCACTTTGGGAGGCTGAGGCAGGCGGATTACTTGAGCCCAGGAGTTTGAGGCGAGCTGGGCAACGTGGCAAAAACCATGTCTCTACAAAAAATACAAAAAATAGCCGGGTGTGGTGGCTCACGCCTGTAGTCCCCACTACTTGGGAGGCTGAGGTGTGAGGATCGCTTCAGCCCAGGAGGTAGAGGCGGCAGTGAGCTGAGATCACAGCACCGCACTCCCACCTGAGTGACTGAACAAGACTCTTGTCTCCAAAAAAAAAAAAATTGACTTTGATATTTAAGGAATCATTAATATTTGGAGTTCTGAGGGTGTTATTGTTATTTTTTAGAGGATGTTTTAAGAGCTACATCTTGAAATATGTATGGATAAATGAAATACCACATTTGTTTCAGAATAATCTGTAGAGGGTTTGGGGGGACTGAGGTCAGATGCACAAACATTTTTGTAAATTAAAACATTATATGCCCTGGTTTTCATTGTCCATTTGAATGAGGGTAAAATTTTCTGAGTGAGTCCTGACTCGGTGGTTTGCCTGTTGCAGGATCATGTCTTCTTATGTGAAGGAGAAGAACCACAGTCGGACCTGACAGGTGAGCTTGTGTTTTCTTTCCCTTCTCTTGAGTGGCCTCATTCTTTCTGGAAGAGCTGCTGCTGTGTCCCCTGAGAATGAGGGTCTTTCTCTGCACCTTCCAGGCTACTTGATTAACATAAGCTCGGGTGTGTCCACTGCAGGAGGAGTCAGCATTTGAAGAAGGCTGGGATGAAACCTTGGGACTTTGCGGTCTTGCTCATCAGCCTAGGCCCAGGGCCATGGGGTGGTCTCCCAGAAACGGATCTGTGTAGTGAAGGGCAGGCATCCCAAACTTACAGTGAACTCAAGGCCAAGCGCAGAGCTGGCAGAACTAATCGAGAAGAGAGGGGCCCGGGGAGGGGTGGGGGATGGGGAGGCGGGTGTCTCCATGGTGGGTCACCCCGGGGAGCGAGCCACTGCTCAGGCTGAGCGGCAGACTTCAACTCTCCCTGCGGCTCTTCAGCCTGACTGTGGGCATCGGTTTCTGCCTGTGGGTCTCCATTTCCCTTAACTAATGACCAAGATTTGTGGGATTTCATTCACCTTGGAAAAGTCCAGGGTAACAGCCACAGGGCCTGCCTTTGCCTCGCTAAGCCCTCGGCTAGGACACATTTGCTCTCCTCCTCATGGTCACTCTCAGGGAGCTTGAGATGGAAGAAATGGTGTCTAACAAGCAGTATGAAGAAACAATTCACTTAGGAAGAAATCTAGGAGTATTTATAGTAGCAAGCCCCAACTTTATGCCCATTTCAAAACTGCATCTGCTAATTGCAGTGAGTTGTTTTGGTACCAGATGAAAAGCCTGTCTGTATTGTCTTCCCTTTCCCAGTTACAGCGTGAATTTCTTGCAAGTTGCTCTATGACACACTGTTTATTTCCACAGCCTGCCTGTCAGGGTCACGGGTTGCCTCTAACGCGATGGTGTGCTAACTTTGTGTCCCACAGCAGCAACAAGCATCCCAGCTGGAGCACAGCCAGGTGAGAAAGGCAGCGCCAAAGAAGCAGGCCTCGCCAAGGAGCAGGAGCCCACGCCCACAGTCGACAGCCATGAGCCCCGGCTGGGACCGCGGCCTCGCTCTCACAACAAGGTCCTAAACCCACCGGGAGGCAAATCCAGCATCTCCTTCTACTAAAAGAAGCCACTGCTCCACCCGGAGCCAGACCAGAAACTCAAGAGATAGGGTAGCAATGTTTTCATTTCCTTTTGCCCAAATGAGCGGGGTGGGAAGAGGGTTAGTCATGTGTGAGCCTGGCTGCTCAGCGTCTCCACGGCCGTCTTGAGAGCTGCCTGGAGACCCGTGCCTTCCAGACGGCTGGGAGGTGCCTTTGTGGGGATGAAATGGGGCACCCCTAACCATCGCTCGTGTGTAGGCCAGGTTTGAGAGGAACTGGAAGGGGGGGTGAGGGTGGGGAGGTGGGGCAGGGCATGGTCCTTGGATCAACAGTCTGCCAGCTGACTGGATGTCTAGGAATGACTGAAAGAAACCAAAACAACCTGTCTGCCGCTGCTGTTCAATGGAGGAGGCGTAAGCAGAAACACTAACAGTATATTGCCCTCTTAGCAGAACGGCTTCCATTCTGGAGATCACGGCTGCTAAATCCAGCGTCCCCACTTCATTTTACCCCCAGCGTATTTGTTCTGCAGTCTTTTCTTGAAACATCTTGATTGCTTTTCCTCGGCAGCTTTCAAAAAACCAAATAGTTGTTATCTGTCTTCTGCTTTATGGAAGATCTTTTTGGTGCCCTGACCCTCTGAAGTGCCCAGTTCCTGCCATCTGAAACCTCGGCCTGATCTGATATCATGTCAGAGGGCTGGTCTTGGTCCTTTACATGCCAGTTTTGCTTGTGAGTTCTTCCTTTTTCCCTCTTATCAGCCTTAAGTCTAGGCCTCTGTTGTTCTCCAATGAGGTAGACAGTTCCCTTCACAAGCCACAGTTCTTCCCATAAATGAGGCCTACTGACCTCTGCGGGACTTTCCAAATCTATTCAGATACATATGAGTAAGTGGCTTATTTAAGTTCTTCCTGTGTCTGTCTTTATTCCTTAATTGGTTGGTGGAAAGAAGAGATGCTTGGGAACCTTGGGTTCTTAGGTTTGAATTCTTTAATAATATCTAAAAAGCTATTTTTAAATACCAGCTTTACATAAATGATTGTTGACTCTGGTCTGTTTCTGACACCTTTCCAGAAAAAAGTCAGTTGTTCAGGTACACCAAAGAGGAAGAAGAGCTGTGTAGGCCACCCTCTACAAAGCTTTATAGAACCTCTGGATCTAACTCACAAACAAGCTTCCGGAAGAGACTACAGACCTTAGGCCAGGAGATGAAAGAGTTCAGTAGCAAAGTCACACCTGTCCAATTCCCTGAGCTTTGCTCACTCAGCTAATGGGATGGCAAAGGTGGTGTTGCTTTCATCTTCAGGCAGAAGCCCCTCCCCATCTCCCTAAAGGGCTGCAAGCTCAGTTCTCATGCTCTCCTTGGGTGGGCATCTGTTAACAGAGGAGAATGTCTGGGTGGTGGCAGCTTTGCTCTGAGTGCCTACAAAGCTAATGCTTGGTGCTAGAAACATCATCATTATTAAACTTTAGAAAGGCAGCAGCCGTGTCCAGTGAGGCTCACGCTGCCTCAGTGCTTAAGTGCCTGCAGACGCTGCCTGCCAAGCTCCCCTTCCTACACCTGGCCCGCTGAGGGGTCTGCACAAGGCTTTGTCAACCAAAGACAGCTCCCCCTTTTGATTGCCTGTAGACTTTGGAGCCAAGAAACACTCTGTGTGACTCTGCATACACCTCATGTGGTTTAGCTTCAAAGTCATTGATGCAACTTAAAAGGAAACAGTTTAATGCTGGAAATGAACTACCATTTGTAACTTTTTTTTTTAATTGAGAAAATGATTCACGAATTCCAAATCAGATTGCCAGGAAGAAATAGGACATGACCGTACTGGGATCTGTGATTCTCCCAGCCCCTGCTGTCCACTAGGTGAGAGGAAAAACTCTTTACTTCTGCCCCTGGCAGGGACTTCTGGGTGATGGGAGAAACCAGAGATGGGAATGAGGAAAATATGAACTTTAGCAGAAGCCTCTGGGCAGCTGTGACGGAGCCCCTGACGTTACTTTTCTCGCATCTGTCCCGCCTTCTTTCCCTGTGCGAGGCTGTGGGGCGGGATTCAGAGTGCTTAGTCTGGTCACTGGGAGAAGAGGAGTTCCTGCACATGCAAGTCCTGCTCTGTGGCTGTCATTTGCATTTGGAAGGTGTTCTGTATGTCTGTATGTTGGGGACTGCCTGTATTTGGAAGGTTTAAAAACCTAGCATCCTGTTCTCACCCTCTAAGCTGCATTGAGAAATGACTTGTCTCTGTATTTGTATTAAGCCTTAACACTTTTCTTAAGTGCATTCGGTGCCAACATTTTTCTAGAGCTATACCAAAACAAAAAGCCTGTACTCACATCACAATGTCATTTTGATAGGAGCGTTTTGTTATTTTTACAAGGCAGAATGGGGTGTAACAGTTGAATTAAACTTAGCAATCATGTGCTCAGAGCCTTTGCTGTCAGTTGTGTGTGTCCCTTACAGTCCCTTCCCCCACAGCTCTTCTTGCTGAAAGGGTTTGCCTGTTTGTTTTGTTGTTTTGCATTTAGCCAGAGGATGCCAAAATTAATCTTCTCAAAGCTTTGAGTACAATAATTGGGGGAATAAGCCAGTTTTGTTTTCTGTTTCTGTAACTTAAGTGAAGGGTTTTTTCCCCCTTGTATACCACTTGTCCTAACATATCTTTAAGGTTTTGAACCTGCCTCTGGCCTGGCCTGCAATGCATAGGTGAGGAGAAGCAGAGAGCTTGTCATGTTCAAGTCCTGTCAAGAAAACAGGTGGGCATGGTGGCTCGGGCCTCTAGTCTTTGGGAGGCCAGGGTGGGAGGATTACTTGAGCTCAGGAGTTTGAGACCAGCCTAGACAACATACTGGGACCCTGTCTCTACAAAAAAAACTTTTAAAATTAGCCGGGTGTGGTGGTACATGCCTGTAGTCCCAGCTACTCTGGAGGCGGAGACAGGAGGATCACTTGAGACCAGGAGATTGAGGCTGTAGTGAGTGATGATCATGCCAGTATACTTCAGCCTGGACCACAGAGCAAGACCCTGTGTCAAAAAAAGAAAAAAAAAATTGAGTTTCTTTCCTTCTGATGTATTAGCTGTTTTCATATGTCCTCAGACATACTTAATATCCTTACAGGCATTATGTGGATTCAGGGTAAATGTCTCAGACTGTGAGCCTGAGAGTCCCTCTCTAGAAGGCTCCACACCATTCTGCCTGCTAGATCGGGGCCAGATGAGATTAAAGTCAACGCTTGAGAAAGAAAACCAACATGCATTAACTGAAACACCATTTCCACTTGTTCATCTACAGGGTGTAGAGCGAATTCCAAGAACCCGGCTAGGCAATGACACACTAAGTTTCCTATTTCTAGCGGCTGCCAAAGCCATCAGCAAGCATGGAAACCTCTGAGAGTCTCAACTCCTCTGTCTCCAGAGGCCTGGCACTGGCGAAGTCTAGAAGGATGCAGGGTGGCGCCACCTGGTACAGGGTGAGGGTGTGAAGAACAGACCTCGAAGGGTTGCCACCGCAAGCCCCGTGCCTTGTCCAGGCATACACAGGCTCTTTTGATGGCAGATAACTTTGCCGTATGATCTTTGTGGTGTGCCTGGTGGGTCACACCCTGTGAGCGTGTAGATGCCTCCTCCCGTGCTGGCTGCTTAATTTCTTCTGCACTCATAATCCTTACCATCTTGAAGATCATCATTGAAATATTCCGGTTTTATGTGTGGCTACAAAGTGCTATCTAAAGATGCTCTCTAAAACTCAACTCACGAAGATGAGAGGAACATCACAGGGAACTGTGTGACTTCTTAGCAGGCATTAGGGCAGATACTTAGAAATTAAAGCTGAATTTTAGAAACTTACATTTTACAAGCCTATCTTACATTTTAAGGTCTTTTAATGAGAAAAAGTTGCATCCCAAATAATATTTCCAAATCTGAAAGGAAGTCAACTCCTCTATTACTAGAAGTTCTTTCTTTTTTTTTTAAACAGAGCCATTCTGTCAGCCAGGCTGGAGTGCAGTGGCACAATCTCTGCTCACTGCAGCCTCAACCTCCCAGGCTCAAGTGATCCTCTCACCTCAGCCTCCCAAGTAGCTGGGACTGCGGGCATGCAGCACCACGCCTGGCTGATGATTATTATTTTTTATTTTTATTTTTGGTAGAGTCTGGGTTTCACCTCCTCGGCCTCCCAAAGTGCTGGGATTACAGGTGTGAGCCACTGTGCCCAGCTGTAAGAGGTTCTGATTCAGCACCGCCTTTCAGGAGCAGGCCAGCTGTGTGATTCCATAAGCGTCGAGAATTACCCAGCATATCATCTTGTTATAATTTCATTGTTGTAACCAACTTCAAGTAACAAATCTGCCCAATCATAGTAGTGATAATTAATCAATTGAGTTGATGGCCAAGTCTGTTGGCCTCTCCCTGTGGTAGCAGTGCTCCTGGTGTGCTACCTCAGGAATTCAAAGGGCTCAGATTTCTCAAAGGTATAAAGCAGAAGCTTTAAACATCCCCCAGAATGCAAGCTTGCTCTAACTTACTCACCAGGAAGGATTATAGATTACATCTGTTTGCCCAGCCTCGTCATTTTCACTTTATAGAACCTCACAACTCTCCATAGCCTTTATTGCACGTTATTTGCTGGAGATGGTGCCATGTGCCTTTTATGGATTAGCTGACATTCCTAATAAGCTGGATATTTTAGGCTGTTTTGCAGGCTTAGAAATGGAGATTTGGGGCCAGGTGCGGTGGCTCACGCCTGTAATCCCGACACTAGGAGGCTGAGGCGGGTGGATCACCTGAGGTTGAGTTTGAGACCGGCCTGACCAGTATGGTAAAACCCCGTCTCTACTAAAAATTAGAAAAATTAGCTGGGTGTGGTGGCACGCACCTGTAGTCCCAGCTACTCGGGAGGCTGAGGCAGGAGAATGGCTTGAACCTGGGAGGTGGAGGTAGCAGTGAGCTGAGATGGCGCCACTGCACTCTAGCCTGGGCAACAAAGTGAGACTCCATCTCAGGAAAAAAAAAAAAAAAGAAATGGAGATTTGGCAAAATTAAGTCACTTGGGATCCCAGGAAATTGGAATCTGAGACTGAAACCTCTTAGTGGGATGGTTGAACGTCTATACGGCAAATTACGTTGCAAGGAGAAAATGTGAAAACACAATAGGGCCTGGCATGGTGGCTGACACCTATCTAAGCACTTTGGGAGGCCAAGGGGAGGACCGCTTGAGGCCAGGGGTTCAAGACCAGCCAGGGTAACATAGTGAGACCTCCTCTACAAAAATGTTTTTAAAATTGGCCCAGCA